GATACAGGAGCCCTATTCTAGTTATTACGGCCCCTGCAGTAAGTACCTATACGGGGGAATAGCAAGTCCTAGTATACCCAGAGACTCCAATGTCCCTTAATTAATGAATATACCTTAAATCATATTCGGGATCCGATTATGATTTAAGGTATATTCCTTAATTAAGGGATGTTGGAGTCTCTGGGTAGAAACCCTACTTCCTCCACCCGTGCAGGTGCTTAGGACTCTGGCGGGACACCTTTAAACTTTCAACGGGGAACCCTTCCGATTGCACAGTCGGGCAAAGTTGAAACTGAAACAAGAAAGCCGTAGACTACACAAACCTACACCCTACTTCTCAAACGCACACTAGCAAAACACAGCAACAACAAGCATAACAGCATCTAAACCCTAAGCCCTAAACCCTAAACCCTAAACCCTAAACCCTAAGCCCTAATCCCTAAACCCTAAACTCTAAAACCAAAAGAAGCAACGAAAAGCAGATGGAGGCCTACAGCGTGGCCTTCTGTGCCTCTGCAGTGCAGGAGCGATCCGGGGATTTGTGTGTTCTTCCTTTAAAGGAGCCAAAGGTGGTTTTAGAGTTTAGGGTTTAGGGTCTAGGGTTTAGAGTTTAGGGTTTAGAGTTTAGGGTTTAGGGTTTAGGCTTCTCGGATTTTCGGAAGCTCTAAACCCTGAGCCCTGTGAGGCCGCGGGAGGGATGTCAGCATCTTGTCTGATGTGTCCGCGAGAAGCTCTGAACCCTACATATTAGGAACCCAACAAGGACATAAGCATAGGCATTTTATAGGGATATCCCTACCTTATTGGGCTTCATTATAAGGGGGTTTATATGGGATGTCCCTATCCTAATTTTTGCTTATGTGCTTTTTTGGGGCCCTAACATAAATCTTGCATTGCCCATAGAAAGGAATATACCGTAATTCCCATAGCTTAGGGTCCTTGAGGTATTTATATCACCAGCAGTAGGACCGGATGTGTCCACCTTGACCCTGTAGAATGCTAGTCCTTGGGAGCCCCGGCTCCGGCGCAGGTATACTTCAGGGGTCAGGGTTCAGGGTTTAGGGTTTAGGGTTTAGGGTTTAGGGCATGCACTACCGGATATGATTTCTATAAGGGTCCAAGCACCGAAAAACCCCCGGCCACCTCAAGGACTAATAACCTACAAAACTACCATCCTAGTACCTGATTCTGGGATCACCCGGACACTGAGTAAATCTTGAACCCTAAGCCTAAAGGTTCAAACCCTAAACCCTAAACCCTAAACCCTAAACCCTAAACCCTGAAAGGTCTGAACTTTAGTAGCTGTACAGGTTCGAAGCCCCCAAGCCCTCAAGCCTCTAAGCCCAAAAGGTCATTTGCCCTAAACTCCGAACCCTAAACCCCAAACCCCTAAACCCTACACCCTAAACCCAGAGCCGAGGGAGCCTGGGCCACTTCGTAGCTCCCGAGGCCAACCTCGGCAGCAGCCTCGGCGAGGTGCGCGAGGGCGAGGT